TAGGATTTAAATAAACTAAAATTTCAATTAATTTCAGCAATAAACAAAGCTTCACTACTTCGTACCGTTAACGTGCGCGCATTATTCTTTCCCAATACGCTGCAATAAATCGACTAGGTTACTAACATGATATACTCAGTGACTCACCTATATATTTATCCTAATCTCGCTTCGCCGTTAGTACTCAAGCAAATTATTTAAACTGCTTGATAAATCCAAAAAAAAGTCTTTTTCTGTTTTAAAAGAGAAAACCTTTATTAGAGACATCCAAATATGACTCTTCACTAGATCGATTAAAAATTTGGTTATTTGCAAGACATCGATAACTTCCTCGATGATATGGCTGCACGTTTGTTATTTCAACCACAGAAGATCCTGGATATATTGTGACACTCCTGTCGGAAGCTGCTGAAAACTGCAGCAGTCAAATGTTGAGCAAATGAGCTTTAAATAATGAATAACGCAAACAGTACTCCCATCCTAGCTGAGCTACAATCTAAATGACTGAAGAATATAGAACGAGTAACAAAAACATGTAATTTAAACAAAAACCTACCGTTTAATTTCTGATTGTTATGGTACCAATCGAATTCCGCTGGTGGGTACGAAGACTAAACAAAAAGCTTAAGTTCTGAATCGAGACAGTGACGAAAAACACAAAAATAACACAAAAACTTATTTGAAAAAGCAGTCACAAAAATATCTTAACTTCAGAAATAAAGTAAAGAAGTCTCAATTTTAACTATCGGAAGCCATCATAGCGGCACAATTTAAAAAGAAACGACAGAATAATTGACCCAAGCGTGAAAAAAACTCACAAGTGCACATTCAAATACTACGGAGTCTCCTATAGCTGCATCGGTATTAATAGGCTGTTTCTCAAATCTAAATGCAAGTATTCATCACGCCAATTACAAAATTCTAAAACAGCTGTGAGTGGTAGGAAAAGCATTCCTCCGTCAAACCAGGAAATGTGCAAGAATCAAAAGTAAGTTTCAAGTAATGACAAGACCTGCTAAGATAGGGTGTGCGAACAACTGCCTTCTTGGACAAATATGTCCACGAATTTTCTCCGTCGTTAACTGTAACTCGGCAGTAGTAAATCCCGTCAATACCGATCTTTTTGTTGAGCTCTTCAAATTCCGCAGACGCATTCTGATATTTGATTCTAAAGTCAAAAAAACAAATTAACAAATCTTACAAATGATTATAGCACTCAAATGGAAAGCTTAAAAATATCATCATTATATTCACACGAATATAGA